CAGAACATGTAATTACTTGTCTTGGGCAAGAAACATATTCCTTTTGAAATTTTCCACCCATAAAATGTGAATAATAAGATCTAGCCTCCTTTTTCATGTGGTTTTAGGAAGTATAAAAAAGAATACAAAGAAGAAAGTTAAAAACATTTGTATAATACAAGCCCAAATGCCATCTTGTCTGACTCCCAGTCTAGAGGCCCCCTCACCACACATCACTCTCCTTACAGCTGCCAGTTTTTTTATTTAAAGCAGCTCTCATTATCTAAATTACATTTTTTAATTTAATTGTTTACTTGGATATTTCCTGTTTCTCCAGCTACAATGAGATTCCATGCATAAAGGGATTTTTGTCTTCTTTTTTGCCATTGCATTGCCAGCATTTAAAATTGTCTTTGGCACATTAGACAGTCAATAAATACACATTGAATAGTGATACCTTTTTATGTTGAAATCTGAATTGACTTTTTATATAAAGAGCCTAATAAAATTCAGTACAGTGAAATTTACTCTTTTTGATATATAATTCTGTTAGTTTTGACAAATGTTCAGTGTTGTGTAACCAGTACCATAAATCAAGAATAATTTCTTCACTTGAAAAAAATTCCCTCTTGGTGCGTCTTTGTAGTCAACTATTCTTCTGTCTACTCCCATGCCCCTTTGTAATCAAATATTCTTCTGTCTACTCTCAGGCTGTGAGAACTATTGATTTTTTTTTATATTCTATAATTTTGCCTTTGTCAAAATGAGATAAACCACACAGTATATGTAACCTTTTGAGTCTAGCTTCTTTCATTTAGCATAATGCATTTGAAATTCATCTGTTTCATGTTTTGGCACTTGTTTCTTTTTACTGTTGAGTAATAGTCTAGTTTTCAGATATAGCTTAATTGTTTCAAATTTTTTTTTGCAATTATTACTTTCCACTTCTCTGCTTTCTAAAAATCTTCCTTAGCAATTGTGTAGTTATAGCAAATCATTTCTAATTAGTTAATTCAACACATTTTTGTTGATTGCCTACAAAGTGGCAGATTCTAGATACTGTGGATTCACCAGTTGAATAAAACATACAGACATCTCTGCCCTAATATGACTTTGGCTTCAAACATTAAAATTAATAAATCCTGTCATCATGAATTAATCATACATGTATAGATTTACTTATCTTAAAGATTTTGTGATTTAGATAATGTTTTACTTTTTATCATTCAGCCTGATTATTTTTATCCATTATTCAGGGGAAAAATAAAGCAAATTACTGAAGTTCATTGGAAACATTAAAGATGGTTGGTGCAGAATATGGAATATATATGTTCTGTTTTTAATGGTAATAGTTTCTGCTAAATTACTCAGGACAAATTTTCCTTCTCAGTTTTGTTTGCTTTGTGCAAACATAGTTTCTAATACAAGTCTCTTGTTATGCCAAGACTTTTGTTTTCATTTCTGCTTGATAGTCTCATTGTTCTCAAGAAGATATACATTGATTAACTTGTAGAGTCCAGAAGAATAGTTGTCCTCTTTGCTGCCCGTGGCAGTGAAACAGCATACCTACCATCCTGCTGTCTAGGGATCTACTCCAAAGCTTTTTTAAGGAGTAGAGAAAGTAAAAGGAAGACAGAAAAGGAGAAAACTGAGGTTGAGCTTAGAGTGTATGAGAACTCTTTTAGGGAATTAGAATTATATAGGTAGCCCGGAAACCTAATATGTGTATAGATGGTTAAACTTTTTAACTACATGAAAGGCTCAGTAGAAATCAAATGAAAGTTAGAACTTGCATGTATACTTGGGATATACTACCCTTAGTTGGATAAGCCCTGTAGGATAACCCTAAGGTAAAAATCCTTTGCAACAATTGTATGTTACATCACCTTTTAATAAGGAGAATGTATGAAGATAGCATTTCACTGTCAGATTTTAGGCATAATTGACTTGTTTATAAATTTCTACAGAATGTATCTTTATGAATATGTCTCTCAGTAGGAAAAAATGAAATACAGAACCAGTTTTATTAAATGGTTCAAAATTCCACTTATTTTTTTCTCCGAATACTCTTTGGGAAGCTGCAGGTTGGTAGTAATCACACTGATGTGTCATTCTTAAAAAATTTGGTTTAAATTAAATGCCATATACATTTTTAAATTTTCAGGGATTTTAAGATTTGAGTTTACTTATTCATTGATTTAAAAAAACTTATAAAGGATAGTAATAGAATATGAACCCAATCGTAAGACTTTAACTCGGCCCACTTACCTAGATTTTTTGTTTGTTTGTTTGTTTTGTTTTTAAAGAGTTGAACTGGCACTTTACTATGTCTTGGGAAATCTAGACAATAGTATATGAGAGTTTGTAGTTAGTAAACATCAAAGGATGTCAGAAAAGAACCAGATGGCATTATTTACATGGCTAAGATATGAGAGACCTATTAGATTTAAGAATTAGTTTCAGACCAGACGTTGGAAAATTTATGTGAAAAGATTGGCTAACTGCACCAATAAATTATTGTTAAGTGCCATTATTAAGTGAGTGAAGGAACATTTGTTAGTACTTCTGATAATAAACCTTATTCTCAGAATATTGATATTTTGATTATTATTTTTGCAGGCAAATTTTCAAGGCATAACATTCACAAGTTTGCTGTTTCTTTACATATATTCATGTATATTTGAGATTTTATCTTTAGCCTACATTTTTTCTGTTTTAATTTTACAAATTTTTCATTTCAAGTTAGAGAAATGTTTTGTTTTCTTTTTCAGATATATTACTGTACATGATTCTGTTTAATTCCAAGAAGTTATTTCATGACATTTTGTTTAACTGATTAGTCTCCCCAGTTATATCTTTAATAAGTGAAGTATACCTTCTATTTTATAGTTACTTTTTTACACAAATATTTCTTTCTAGTTGCTTTTAATTTTAAATGCAGTTTTATCAGAATTAGTATGCTAATCTGTTTTCTGAGCAGCAGTTTGCTTTTTTAATTTTATGTTGTTTTTAAAATTTTAATACGTCTCTAAAATTAAATATTTAAAACTTTTTATTGTTTATGCAGAGAATTACTGACATCTCATGTCAGTTACTGTTCTAAGAACTGAGGATAAAGCAGTGAAAAAAAGACAAGACTCTTTGACCTAATGACATTTACATTCTGATAGGGGGACACAAACCACAAACAAAAAAGAAAATGGCATGTGAAAGGTTCTGGCAACACTACAAGTGTATCCTGGTGCGTGCTGATACTCCTAGGCAAAGAACTGACAGCTTGCACCGGTCTGCTTTTCTTCAGGCATCCAGGATAGGGTGATTGAGTCAGGCACAGTTGGATATACTAGATTATTCTCTAGGAAAGGGACTGTCCTACTGCTGTCCACACATATTAGAGCTCCAGAGGACTCCTGAGTACGTAACAATGGGAGCTTTAGCAGTCATGAGATTGGCTGCTATTGGAGAAAAACATCTTGGAATTGGACACCAGCCATGCTGATAGCACTTGGAGACCTTTTGAGAAGTCAAGATTGTGCACAGCTTCTTTCACTGGAGGTTCTGGAGCCACTGGTCCCAGCTAGTTCTTGTAGGCAACTTAGCACCACCAGAGGTCATTCAGTGGACAAATCTATTTGACTTTCTTCAGTCTACCCTTCTGACTCAGAAATCTAATTAAACATAAGGCTTTTTATCAGGGACATGAATTAATGGGCCTATCTATATACTGAAGTAGAAGAAATAGAGAGTAGTTAATCCATTGACCTCTTTCACCTACTTCCTGAGGTTGAACATGTTCATTTCTTAATATATCAGAGTCTGTTAACCAAATTATCTGTCCTATTCCGAGTAATAAACTTCCCCAAAACTCACTATCTAGGAGTCACTCACTATCTTGCCACCATAAGACAGTTTCAGTGGCAGAGGAGTATGGCTGTAGAAACACCCAAAGTAAAGTTAGTGAATACATTCCTACCCATCCGGGTTGTCTAAGAAACATCAGCGGCAGTCACAATGAGTGAACCTGACCATCATCATGTTGGTACATTTTTGCCAGACCCATATGCATAGCAGTCACGATCTAGTCAGAGAGGCCTCTTGGGCTTCAGTATCTCTAGGGGGAGGGGGAGACCTTTCTCTAGGGGGACTGCTTAGTCCAATCTCCCAGATTAATGACTACTGGGGTTTCTTTGCTATTACTACCCCTTTTATTATATCCTTGCAAGACTCTTAGGTCCATTCTGGATTTGTGCACCAACCCATCAGTTCTATTTATTTATTTATTTTGTTTTCAAGCATCATAGTTTCTTTATTTTTGTTTTATATAGTCAATGTTCATGTAAACAAATAATATAGGTGTAATAATGAGGCCTAATGGACATACTGGGTGGGTCTGGGAAGGCTTTAGAGAAGAGAGAGCATTTGAGGTAAGGCTTGAAGGGCAGAGAAGCAGAAAAGACATTCTTGACCATGGTGTCATGGAAGAATAAAAGGGTGTGGTATGTTCAGGCAGTAGTGAGAAGTTTTGCATGATTAGAAGTGTATAAGAATAAATGTAGTAGATAACTTGGGAAAGGAGTGTTGGAACAGGTGCTTCAATCATGTATAAGGCATTTCCTAACCTATTTTATAGGGAGAAGCACAGCAGGTCGTAGGTGACCTACTCACATTTATAATTTTAAAATCTCATCATAACTTCTATTAACTTTTATATTTGATGATATGATATTTATATATTTCATTGGCATGCCTTCAAATATTTTTCTCCTATCTATTACCTAATTTCATCTTAGCAATATGAGTGTTACAGATCTGAAAATATAGTATTCTAATATTTAAAGTTGGAGAAACTGAGGTATTAAGAGATTACCTGACCTACTCACAGCCAAGTGCCATGTTTAACATAATGCCAGATCTTCTGATTCTTAATTCCATATATTTGTTGGATTTTATTTGTGTAAATAAATGCTTTTTTGTCTTTTTTCCCCTCAAATGATTGTGTGTTTTTTTTTTTCTCTCCATAGGACTTGGCTTTTACCCTGAAAGAGAGACAGCAATTGAATATTCATGGATTATTGCCACCTTGCTTCATCGGTCAAGATATCCAGGTCCTTAGAATAATCAAAAATTTTGAGCGTCTGAACTCTGACTTCGACAGGTAACACATTCTTTTTTATGTTTTTCTAAGGCAGTTATAGCTTACTTTTTATTAGATGGGAAAGTTAAAATGTTTAGTGATTTGGAAAGAGTAGCCAACTCTGACAATTTGCCATTAAATACAATGATGTTTTTTAAAAAATGTACCCCCTGTAGGAACATTAAATAAAATAAAGTTTTCTTTTCTAAACCATATCCTCAGAGACTACTTTTCTTTGTGATAAAATTGCTCTTATAAAGGTAAGTTATCAGGATATGCCATTCTAGACAGAGCAAAACATGTTAAAGTAGCTTTTAGCCAGACTGTAAGTACATTGTAGGTAAAACTGCATTTTTCAACTTCTAGACTTGATTCTAATTTAGGTCACTTACTTTGTTTAGAATTCCACTTCCATGTTTATACAAAGATAGAGGTAACATTGTTCCTTAGGTTGAAATCCTGGCTGTATCTCACTAGCAGTGGGTCCTTGAGCAAACCACTACAACCAATGTCAGGTCTACTGTATATGTCTTGCCCTCTGCCGTTGACTCTGCCCTTTCTTATTAAGGCGCTGGAGTTCTCTCTAAACCTCAGAGTTTTCATTGTGGGTTGAAGAGAATAACAGTTATTTGAAAATACTGTTGTGAAGGTTAGAAGAAGTAGCTAACCCAATAGGTAGTAAGTATTCATATTCGTCAGGGTTCTCCAGAGAAACAGAACCAATGGAATGTGTGTGCGTGTATATCTATCTATCTATCTATCTATCTATCTATCTCTATCTATCTATCTATCTATCTATCTATCTATCTATCTAATCTATCTTATCTACCTACCTACCTACCTACCTATCTATCATCTATCTTATCTACCTACCTACCCACCTGCCTTCCTACCTACCTACTTATTATCTATCTATCTATCTATCTATCTATCTATCTATCTATCTATCTATCCATCCATCCATCCATCCATCCATCCACCCACCCCCCCTACACACACTTACACACACATATATATCACATCTTGTTGGATAGAGATATATAAATTTATTTCAAGGAATTGGCTTACATGACTGGGGAGCAGCCTAAATCTGTAGGTAGACTGGCAGGCTGAAGACCAAGGGAAGACTTGCAGTTCGAGTCCAAAAGCAGTCTAGTAGAGTTCCTTTTTCCTGGGATGTTGAAGAGAATTTATAACAATAATAATAATAGAGTAGCAATCTGAATTCCCCTTCGTAGGCAGGGTCAATCACCCCAGCCAGCACAGTAATTTCCTTCTTTGCTTGTTGATTCAGAGCCATGTGGTGCCCATAGTGGTTAGTGGCAGTCTTAACTTCCAATTCAGTGGAATCATTGCCTCGTAGAAAAATTCCTTACTTTGGAACTAAGACTTTTAGGCCAGCAGAGCATAAGGTCATGGGGACAGGAAGCAGAAATTTTGCTATTAGGTCACTAGGAATAAAAGTGAGTGGTGCCACTTTCATTTTCACCCCTTAGTTCCTGGACTTGTGAATCTCGGGTATAGAAGAAATAGCACCATATCGGACACTGATTCAGAGCATTCATAGCCCCTTGGAGAACCTTGACCCAGCTTTGTAAGGTATTACCATCTAGCTGGTGTTATAACTGAATCTTTAGAAGGCCATTTCACCATTTATCAAGTCAGCTGCTTCAGGATGGTGGGGAAACATGGTAAGACTAGTGAATTCCATAAATATGACCCAATGCCACACTTAATTTGCTATGTAGTGAGTTCTTTGATCAGAAGCAATGCTTTGTGGAATATCATAATGGGGATAAGGCATTCTGTAAGTCCACAGTGGTAATTTTGGCTAAAGCATTGTGTGCAGGGAAGGCAATTCTATATCCAGAGTAAGTGTCAATTCCAATAAGAACAACACTGCCCCTTCCATGATGGAAGCAGTCCAATGTAATCAACTTTCCACCAAGTACCTGTGAAATGGTGCCGTATCGGGCACTCAGTGTTAGTCTCTGGCAGATTGGGTACTCGGCAGTATCTATAGCCAGGTCAGCCTTGGCGAGTGGAAGTCCATGTTGTTGAGTCCATGGATAACCTACATCTCTGCCATGGACACTTTTTTTCATGAGCGCATGGGTGATGACAGGGGCAGCTGGGGAAAGAGGCTGACTCATTTATAAACTCTTTCACAATCTCTTCATTTGTTCCTTAAGTCCTTCCTTCAGCTTCTTACATTTTTACTTTATATTCTTTTCCTGGACTATTTTATCGACTACCTCCTAAGAGCTGGTGACTTTCATATTTTTCCCATAAACTGTTCTTCAAAATATATTGAGCATCAACTCAGTGTCATGCTCTTTTAGATATTGGGATTATAGACAATGATCTCTGCCCTCACTGAACCTAGGTAAATTATTTTTAAATATTATGAAAAAATAATAAATAGCAAAATAATAAGTAAATTATTTAATATGCTAGAAAATGATAAGTATTAATGAAAAAAACGAAAATGTAGAGTAGGGTAAGGGGGAATGGGAATGCTGGAGGTTGGTATGGCCAGTTTGCATTGTTAAATTGGGTGATCAGGACAGACTTCATGGAGAAGGTGACTTATGAGCAGGTAATCAAAGGAAGTGAGATTGTTACCCATGAAAAATTCTGGAGAACGATGTTCTTTAGCTGGTATGTTCAAGGATCAGCAGGGAGACCTGTGTCTGGAGCAGAATGAGGGGAAGAATGGTAGGTTGGAAGAGGAAGTTAGTGAGGTAATAGAGGACAGATTATGTACGGCTTCGAAGGCCAATAAAGGTCTTTTGTTGTTATTCTGAATGAAAAGGGAAGCCATTCAAAGTTTTGAACAGAAAATCAACATGATCCGAGCTATATTTCAATAGGACTGGCTGCAATGGTGAGGACAGAATATGCTGGAAGAGTATTTAGGAGACTATTAAAATAATCCAAGCAAGAGATGATGGCAATGCAGATCTGGGGTAGTAGTGATGCAGGTGTTTAGATTTTGAATATATGTTGAAGGTAAAGCCAACATAATTTCCTAATATATTAGACATGAGTTTTAGAGAGCTTTCATAGAAGAAGAAAAAACAGTAAAGAAATGGAAAACCAATGAGATAGAAGGAAAACCAAGAGAATATGATGGCCTAGAGTCAACTGTCGAGCTCTAGGGAATACCACTTGTGTAAAATGTTCTGATAAGTAAAATAAGGTGAGGTATGAGAATTGATCATTGGATTAAAAATGATAACAGACATCGAATCAGTTTTAGCGTGTCTAAAAGTCAGCACCTTCTTCCCAAATGTTAATGTTTTGGGTTGGTAAAACCATCCATTTGCCGGGCATTAAAATTCCGTATCTCTGGCACCAAGTCCTATGCATTTTCAGCTATTCCAGACAATGAGAATCAGTCCAAAAAGGCTTGTAAGATTGTTAAATACAATTTGAAAGATTTTTTTTAAGTTGTACCAAGCAGTTTGAGTTTTATTCTATAACCCGTTGAAGGTTGTAAGTAACATCATAAGGTTAATTGTAGAAAGATAACTCTGGGTCAAAAATGCCTCTAGAAAGAAAAAGACCATTTGATACAAACAATAATAAAAGTCTCTTGAATGTGTCTACCTTAGTAATTTTTAAAGTTGATGTTACATTCCTTATTTTCTGTTTTGTTATTTCCCTTGGTTATTTAGCACTGCAAGTTAAAAAATGAAGTCTTTGTATTTACTTACTAAGTTAATGCTTAAGCTATAGTGATATTTTTATCTGTCTTTCATTTTTAAACAGGAATAAAGTCTTTCACATATTAAATAAAACTGCTATTTCAGCAATGATTTTAATGTTTGAATGACACTAGTTTATGGTTTTTCATTCTTTGTGGTGTTTAAGAACATTTCTAAAGTCTTTTTTGATCAAGTGTTTCCTATGTGACCTAAAAAATACTTCATACTTTGTTGAAAAATGTTTAATTTGATTTCTAAGCAGCCATTTCATGACTTTGTTGGACTATAGACCTCATTATGTCAAATTTCCACAGGTATCTTCTCTTAATGGATCTTCAAGATAGAAATGAAAAGCTCTTTTATAGAGTGCTAATGTTTGACATTGAGAAGTTCATGCCTATTGTTTATACCCCCACTGTGGGTCTGGCTTGCCAGCAATATAGTTTAATATTTCGGAAGCCAAGGTATGTGAACTTTTATTTTAAATATAACTTGTCATGTCTTTATTTTTTATAAAGTTTTTGCAATAATTAGAAAAATATTGAATTGAATTTTGGAAAATCTAAATCAAACTTTATTTAAAAGAACATGGACTATAAACATATATAACATTAAAAAATATTTTCTTTCTTGATTTAAGATCATGAGAAAATATTTAAAACCAATTTAGATTTCTTTTTATAGATAATCAGTGAATTTGTTTTTTATTTGGAAAGAATAATTTATCATAATTAAACTTATCTTTGAGATGTTAATTACCCCTATTATGTATATGTTTTACAAATTGAAGATTCCAAATTTTTCTGAAAATAGAATATTATTTTTTAAATTCAGAGTTGGCTTTAAAGTAGCTCTTTTGTTGATTTCCCTTAAGTGAAATAGTAGTCACCTTGAAAGATGAATAAAAATAGAATACAATTTTTCTGAATCTGTAGCTTTACTTTATTCATTATATTACTTTAAATATTTTTGAAGCAAGGAACAATTGAAATAAATATTAATACTTTTAACACCAGCAACAGCAAAAGTTCAAGTTGAATATATTTGTGCTACGTAAAGTTCTGATTTTAAAGATAAAAAGAAATGTTTATAAGATTATACCACAAATATAAAAGCCTATTAGAAGTACTGTCATTGAAAGGAGTATTTCAGAGGTAGTATCTGGAAGTTAGATTGAATATGTGGATTTCACATAGATAGATGGATGTAGTGGTAATATTTAGCATACTTGTGTCACATTACCCTTTGTATAAAGAAAAGAAGAGTTAGGAGAACAAGAGTTAGAATTTAGCTGGTAAATGTATTGTGATGAATATTTTTGGGGTAATAGAGTATATTTTTTAATCATAGAAATAATAGATATTTATTACTGAAAAATGAGAAAATGCAAATATACAGAAGGATGAAATATTTTAAAAATACCTTATATCATCATACCAAAATTCCGATACACATAAATTCATACTGTGTTCCTTATAGAAGGAATCATGCTGTATAAACTTTTTTATCTTATTGTTTTCTCTGAGTGATACTTAACATCTCTCTATTTCTATAAAATATACATAAGGAAAGAATCTTAATAAAAATATAATTGCATAAACCAGCTATTTTAAAACTTGGCTGTTTTAAAATATAAAATATTTAAGCATATTTATTGAAATTCTAACTTTTCTATTAGATACTGAGAAATGCTTACAACCATAAGAAATGTGGAAGAGCTTATCTCAAAAAAAGCATTTTTGAGTTGAAGTTGACACAGAAATCTCGATAGCCATTATTTTTGAGCACTTACTACGTACTAGATGATTTTCTAAGGGCTTGAGATACATTGATATACGTATAAATCTAAGCAGAAGAGATGGACAGGGAAATAAGAATAAGTAGGTTGTCTAGCGTGTTTGAAGGTACTAAGTGTTATGGAGAATAAAAGATTAGAGCAGGGAAAAGGGGATCCAGAGTGTCAGTTGCTTTAGCAGGGTGGGGGTGGGGGGGCAGTTACAATTTTAAATAGCAATAATGTAGGCCTTATTGGAAGATCATCTGGGAGGAGTGAGAAGGCTAGTCATGTGGATACAAGGGGAGACATGTGGTAGGCAGGAGAATAGTCAGTGCCAGAGCCCTAAGTGGAAACATGCCTGGAGACCAGGAATAGCATAGAGACCAGTGTGGCTGGAGTGGAGTGAGAGAGGGGAAGAGTAGTAGATGAGGTCATAGATGTAAGATAAATAAGAATGTACAAGACCTGTAGTTTCTTGTAGGCTATTATAAAGAACATTGGCTGAACATTACAGAACATTACTGTTAGTTAAATGGGTAGAAGAATCAGGTAGCCTGTTTAGCAGGCTATTGCAGTAAACCCAGTGATGGTGGCTCAGATTAGGGGGATAGCAGTAGAATTGGGGATAAGAGTTCAGATTCAAGATAAAGAAAAAGAAAGTCACAAGGATTTTCTGTTGGATTGGAGGCTTCCTAGAGCAGTGGTGAAACGCATGGGCTCTGGACTGCCTGTTTTTACTTACTGGGTTATTTGTTTTAGTCTCAAATAAATTATTTAATCTTTCTGCGCTTCAGTTTCCTTCTCTGTAACATAGGATTATACTATAGACCATCATCCTTTATTCACATTTTTTTAAATCCAAAACTTTGAAAACCAAAACATTAAAAAAAATCTCATTTGGGAGAAAACCTGATCTATCTAAGTCTATGTGGTGGTAAAACTTGAACTGAATTTATATATGAATATTTATAGTCTTTACCTGACTTAGTGTTATTGTTTTTCTTTAGAACTATTAATGTATTTGATTATAGGAGGCTTTATTGGAAACAAATAAGTTAGGTACACAGGTAGGTAGCTAGCTAGCTAGATAGAGGGGAAGAAAACCATGAGGCGGGGAGGAAGTGGGGTAAGAGGTAGGAGAGTATGGCAAAATGCTCTCAAAGGTTGAATCTCGGTGGCGGTATTTTTTGTATTATTCAGTTTTTCCACAGTATTTGAAATTTAAGAGAGGAATGCTTTTCTCACAGAAAAAGTAAAATTTCTAAAATAATTTCTGTATGATCTCTTTATGGCAGTTTCCTGTCACATTTATTTTTAATATGTATATTTTGTTAAACTTTTGATGATTTTGAAATTGTTTAGTAGAATAATTCTCATGGCTTCTCCCATAATTAGAAAAAAGGAACTTGTTTGTAATGTGTTATGTGATATAAATTTAGACTTTGTATTTAATTAGAAAGGAAACTGTGATTATCTTTGAATAATAATGATGGATCTTCCAGGTGTCATTAACATATGCACTATACTTTTTTATTTTTAAGCCAGAATTTACAAATGTCTATTTAAACCTTTCCTACTGCAATAGCAGGTGTTCTAAGACATTCAGAAAGTGAACAGGAGGACTATACTTATATTTAGTTTGTGGATTTAGCAGTAGCAATTAGCATAATAAATGAAAATTAAGAGTTAATAGTACAAGTACTGAGTATAATAACAGTTGCAAACAAATATATCTTTTGATCTCATGCTTTTTAATATATCTTAATGATCTGATGTTTTTCTATGACTAGATATTTATTTTTCATTTTGAATATGGCATTACAATCTGGCTAGATATCCAAAAATAAATTCTTACGTGAGTACCTCTACTGCCAATTTTTTTTTCTAAGGTATGGAAAAAGGATGCTGGAATATCTTTTTTCCTAAGATGCTGGAATATCCATTTATTGGTTTTGTATGGAATTTCTGTTTTCTTTGGCATAGATACTTTCTGTGGGTTTTTCACGATATTATGGATAATCATTTTTTAAGAACAGTGTTGAGCTTGCTTGATTTATCTTGTTTCCATGTACCCGTAACATTTTAGTTTTTGCAGATCCAATATATGGTAGTACAATATACTTATGTTAGCATACCTAATTGTGGCTGATAGGGGTGTGAGTTTTAGAAACTAGAAACAATTCTTTGTATTTTTTGCAGAATACTGAGTTTTCTGTGTTACTGAAATAACTTGTATTCTGTGACTCTTTTTTAAAAGAAATGTTTTGTGAAAATTAATAATACAGTTATATGTAAAAGACAGCTAAAGCAGATTTCTATTATTTCTTTTGAAATATTTCTACCTGATATATTTTACATTACATTTTCCAAGAATCATCTCCCATCTCTTATGAGTTTTCATTAGCTACATATAATTTTATCATGCCATTTGCAATAAATCACATTCCTACTTTTGATATTTCTAATGTTCTTTGAAAGTACTCTCAGTCTTTTTTGTTGGCATTTTACTATTCATTTAGTCCTAACTAGATTGAAAGCCTTTATAGAGAAGGGATCATATTTTGTAAATTAGTGTATTTCTCATCCTATTTAGGCTTAGTGCCTGGTTGGTGCTGAATTAATATATGTTGTTTGCTACCTCATAGAAATAGTAACTTAATATTACTCTATTCATCTACTCACATAGAAAACCATGAAGTATTGATAACATCCTTTATTTCTCCTACTGTTTAAGCATGTTATTCTAACAGGTAAATTCTCATAAATAATAGATCTGAAAGAAATTGGAATTATGCCAAGGAATCAGGCAGTGAGAAAGTAAAATTTTAATTAAATATAGACAATACAACTTTAAACACATATTATACTCCTTTCAACTACCATCTTTATACAGTAATTTACAGATATGAGTTTTGCAAAAAGAATGAGGTAATATAGTAGTTTGTTGATGAGTTTTAAAAAAGCTTTACAAAGTCTGATACAACTTGTACCATTGATTAGTTTCCCAAAAGTTATGGTTAAAAAAGTGTCAGTGCTCAAATAATTGGAGAGAGCCTGAATTAACTAAAATTAAACAGGATTCTTTACTGTAAGATTTCACAGAATAATACCTATTTTTTTTCAAGTTTTTGGAGGATTAGATTTAATATAGATAATATACCTAGCATAATTCTTGGCACATAGTAGCTATTCCCAAGTAGTTGTTATTACAACTAATATTATAGCTCTCAGGTTTCTTGATGACTAAATGGATGATGGTACCTACCATTCACCAAGTTTAAGAATAATGGAATATGTTTGTAAGGGAGATAGAAAGTTCTTTTCAGGACGTGTTGAGTTTTAAATGTCTTTGGGACTTCCAAGTAGGGGGTGTCTAGTAGATATTTAAATGTATGGACTTGGAAGTTAGTAGGTAATGTATTTAAAGCTCCTAGTATTTAAGTTACATTATATATGCTCATAAATAGTATCTGTTTTGATTTTGACAGTGATGAAGATTAACAGTAAGACTAATAAAGAGAATAATTCATTAAGATGTTTTATTTTTTTAGTTTTATTCTTTCTTGGAAAATTCTTAGGGCAGTGCATAAAAGGAAACATTAAGATGAACGAAAACAAAATACTAAAATAGTTTTTCTACATTTAGTGATTGTGGTATATAATCTTTTTAATATGTTGCTGTATTCA